GATAAATTTGATGATTGGAAAGTTCGTATGCAGGTTCATTTATCGGTCTTACACGATGAAATGTGGGAAGTTATTTCTAATGGACCGATAGAAATATTGAAAGTCAACACAGCATTTCTTCTATCATCCGATGCTCAACAATATGTACCAAAGCCGAAACCGGAATGGTCATCAGACGATAGAAAAAGAAATAATCTTGACAACATTGCCAAAGATATTCTATTCAAAACCGTTGATGATACAATATTCCCAAAATTCGAAAATGCACAACCGCGAAAGAAATTTGGGATACTCTCATCAAGATCGGTGAAGGCGATGAACAAGAAAACGACAACAAGCTCACGATAGCCATGAAGAAGTTCGAAGATTTCAAAATGCTATCAAGTGAAAGCATTGTTGATATGGAAGCAAGAATGATTAAAATTCTTGGATAGATTAATGATCTTGGCAAAGAGATTAGCCAAAAAGAAATTAATCTCAAGATTCTACGAGGCTTACCATCCGCATGGGACATGAAGGTTACGGCTATGCGAGATCACCGAGATCTAAGAACGTTGTCAACCGACAAATTGTTTAGTGATCTTAAAGCATATGAGTTCGAAATGAAGGCCAAAAATGATGAAAATTATGAAGCTCGAAATCCAGCTCTAATGGCCGAACAACCGTCAACCTCCAGGTCAGTAGATAATATTGATTTTATGATTGATGAACAGTTTGCTCTCTTTGTTAAAAAGTTTAGGAAATTCATGCGAAAAGGAGACAACAAATATTCATCACGAAGAAATCAAAATTTCTCTCGTGGAAATCAAAATGGCGCATGGAAGCCGAATGAAGAAAAAGTTGATGAAATGAACGATCTATGCTATAACTGCCGCAAACCCGGACATTTTAAAATAAATTGTCCGCATCCGATCGTTAGCAAATATCAAGGCAAAAACGTTGAATCTACACCAAATAAATTCGACAACAAAGATCGAAGATTCAAACGTGACAAAAGAAAAGCTCTCATGAGCAATGAGCCGAATGAAGATGATGAGTCCGATGAATCGTCATCAAGCGATGAAAGTTCAAGTTCAGAAAATGATAGAGCGCTAGTATGCAAATCAAATGAGTTGAGTACAAGTGAAGATTGTCTAATGGCTCTTGGAGCAGAGGGAGAAGAGGTAGCATCTAATTCTTTTACTTCAGTTAGTACTTCCTTTTCTCGTGAATCTATTGCCAATCTAATGCGAGATTGGCAAGAGATCTTGGCCACTCATTCTCAACTCAAGGAGCGCAATAATATTCTAATTCTCGAAAAAGAAGAGATGAATAAAAAATTGCAAGATGCTTTACTTGAAGTGAGTAACTTGAAGAGTAAAAATATTTGCCTTCAAGAAGAGTGTAAAGCTAGAGAGGTTAGAGAACATAATCTAAGAGCTACCATTGCAACGTTTACTAATTCGTCCAAGATCATGGATAAAATGGTAAACATGCAAAAGCCATCAGGAGATAGAACTGGAATTGGTTATGACTCCACATGTTCTCAAACCCCTCCAAAACTGACTAATCTTACTGATACTTTAAATAATAAAGTGCAAGTAGTAAAATTTGTGAAAAGTCAGGATAACACAATGAAACGAGGACTTGGCTATCAATCAAATGCAAAAATGAATAATGCTAGGCCGAACCACGTTAATTACAAGGCTAAGCATTCAAAATTCATTAAGTACAAAAGATATTCCAATAAGTCAAGTGCAAAAAGATTTCATAGAAAAGAGGGAAGCTTTTCTAGAAACAAAGTTGGGAGATTATATCCCACTCAAAAGGATTGGTTGTACAAACCTTGTTTTAATGCTTTTTATAGACCAAAACAACAATCCTCTTCCCAGGTGCCAAAGTATAAAAATGATTTTCAAAATCGGGCACCAAAAATATTTTCTAGAATCAATTATGATTATCAAGTCTCAAATGGTTACAAACCACCTTATCTTAATTCAATAAGATCTAAGTGGGTTTGGGTTCCAAAAATCACTAACAACAAAAGACCCAAACAAGAATGGGTACCTAAAAATAATTAATCTTTTTTGTAGGATGTTTGGTACATCGATAGTGGCTATTCCCGCCACATGACGAGAAATAAATCTTATCTAGTGAATTTGAAGAAAATCGATGGACCAAAAGTGATTTTTGGAGGAAATCAAAATTATGGAATTACCAAAGGAGTTGGTACGATTGAAAGAAATGGAATAAAAATTGAAGATGTATCGTACGTGGAAGGATTGAAGTTCAACTTGCTGAGTACTAGTCAATTTTGTGATAAAGGCTATCTTGTGGAATTTTCCAAAGATAAGCGCCTAATCAAAAATGAAACAACAAAGGAAGTAGTACTCACTGGAGCAAGGAAGAAAAATATGTACGTTGTTGATTGGAGCACAAGCAAAGAGTCTATATGCTTAATGGCCAGAAATTCAAATGAAGAAAATTAGGAATGGCATAGGAAGCTCAACCATCTAAACTTCAAGACAATCAATCAACTTGCAAAGAAAAATCTTGTTGAAGGTTTACCAAATATTGTCTTCAAGAAGAACCAAGTGTGCGACGCATGCCAATGTGAAAAACAAATTAAATCATCGTTCAAATCAAAGACGCACGAGTCAACGTCAAGACTACTAAGCTTGCTACATTTGGACTTATTTTGACCGGTTGATCCAATAAGTGTAAGTGGTAAGAAATATACTCTTGTTGTTGTTGATGATTTTTCCAGGTACACTTGGACCGTGTTCATCAAGAAGAAAAGCGAAGTTGAGCAAGTGTTACCAAAGCTATTGAAGCAACTACAAAATGAGAAGGATATGAGAATATCAAAAATCCGAACCGATCATGGAACCGAGTTCGTGAATAGCATGATTCAATCATTTTGCGATGCATAAGGAATTTCTCATCAATTATCTGCCGCAAGAACGACGCAACAAAATGGCGTAGCCGAAAGAAGAAACCGGACGCTCAAAGAAGCCGCACGAGTGATGATCAGTGCATCCGGTCTCTCGAAAAGATATTGGGCGGAAGCTATCAACATTGCTTGCTACACACAAAATAGAAGCATCATTCACAAGCAGTACAAGAAGACGCCATATGAATTATACAAAGGGAGAAAACCAAATATTAATTATTTTCATATTTTTGGATGCAAATGCTTTATTCATATTAATGATAAATTGCATCTAAAAGCTTTCGATGAGCGTGCAGATGAATGAATTTTTCTAGGATATTCGACTACCAGCAAAGCATTCAGAATATTAAACACAGACAAATATTGAAACAAATAATGACCAAATTTTGAGCAATATTGATGGTCCAAAAATGGAAGTAAATAACTCTGCCAGAGATGATGTTGACGTGGTCAGAGAAGAAATAGGAGCAGATGTTGGAGATGAGATTAGAGAAGAGATTGGAGAACAGGTCAGAGAAACAGTTTTGAATGAGAATAGAGAATTAATTGGGGGGGGGGGGGGAACAATTAATTGAAGTAGCAGTACAAAATGTCTCTGTCAAAGCTACTACAAACTTCCAATCCCCACTAGAAGACAGACCATTGTCTGAGCAGCCCATTCTCTCAAATCCTAGTTTCTCCCAAGATATTGACAATTATCAAGGAGAAGAGGAAGTCAATACAGAAGGAGAAAATCTTGGAAAAGAAGTCAACAGTTCACCGCTGATTTCTCCAACCAAAGGAAGCAAGGTTCTCACACTGCAAAACTAGATCTCGGCATCTGCTTGAACTTGATCCGCCATTTCCAGATAAAGGCTACTACTGCAAGCTCCCAAACACGAGCAGGATGTCCTTCTCCCTAGTTCTTGGGCTAACTTGTTGCAAGCTGCCAACTTAACACTTGCATTAACACACAACCCACAACTCTCTACAAAGCAATGCTCGAAGACTTCAGAACTTCCGGTCCGAATGAAAGATCCAAAACAGGAATGGAAACAAAGGAGAAAGGTAACTCGGGGGAAAGAAGGCTCACAAGAAGAGACTTGGTTCAACGAAGAAGGTTAGAGCGAAAGGTTTAGGTTCAAAACTCGAGGATCACATTACTTAGGAATAGGATCAAAGTCATCAAAGTTGCAACTTAGGAAATAAGGTTGCCACCTTGCACTGGATCGTTAGAAGCGAGGAATACAAGAACGAGGTTTAAAAGGATAGATAAGTATTTCCTAACGGAAGAGTTCTAGGTTTAGGTTCAAGGATAACATTGATTAGAAAGGGAATCAAGATTTTCAAAGTCACAACTTAGGAAAATGAGGTTGTTACCTTGTACAGAGTCAATTCAAGAAGGGAGCAAGAACGAGTTTCGAAAAGATAGGAAGGATTTTCCAATAAAAAGGCTTTTGGCCCGTCAAGGTGAAGAGAGGAAAACAGCTTTAAGAGGGTTAGGGATTTCCGACTTCAGGCGAAAACGTCTGCTCGGTGCTTGATCACTACACTTTTGTCGAACTGAAGGTTCTTTTCTTCGATTCTGACGCGACTTAACTCTCAGACCTTGCCAGATTTCCTTCAAAAGCTGAAGTCACGGTCGCCTTACACAAGATGGTTAGGAAAGAAAACAAGAACAAGGTTCGGAAGAAAAATGATTACTTGGAAAAAGGATGATTGGGTTCGTCTAGAGGAGGAAAAAGATTAAAGAGGGTCAATGGTTCTTTGACTTCAAACGGTTTCTTCTGCTTGACAAGCTAAGAACACTCGTACCATACCAAACTTCTCCAGATCTCTTGAAAACCCAAGAAGCTTCGAGTCAAAACCAAGGTCAAAACTGACTCTTAAACTAGCTAACACGCAAGGAAGGCACGAAGGCAAAGGGAGGTGTAACAAAAGGGTATAAGAACTTACTTCATCGGTTTCAACTTGCATCTAACTCACGACTGTGGATCTTGCCTCGCCGAGGTCTCAGTTTCGCACCTGGGTCATGGCTGCTTCTTCCACTTCGTCCGTCGTTGATTCCCCTTTGAAGCTTACTTCCCGACTAAGGTCTCACACTACCAGCTGGTTTCGGGCTTGCTGAAGTCTTCCTCTTAGGCACGCACTTAAAGGACCGATGACCTTTCTTACCACAAGCAAAGCACTCTACCAGTTTTCCATGACAGTCCATGTCAGGGTGGCCACTTCCACACTTCTTGCAAACGGAGCGCTTTCCCTTAACCTTGTTGTTCCGGATTGGCGGGGGAGTCTTACCACTCTTAAAGTCGTTCCTTTGAAGGCTTCTAGATGGTTCGGCACCGGTAACTGACAAACTGATAACCACAGGTGCAACAGTTGTTTCAAAACTCCTCTTACGGCTCTCCTGAATTCCTTTCTGAACTTGCTGCACCCGGTAGAGGTCGACTGCACAAAGGTAGGCCTCATTGAGAGTCTTGGGCTTTGACACAGTCAAGGCTTTCCTAGCCTCAAAGTTGAGTCCAGCCACAAACTTCTCAACTTTGCTCTCCTCGGTAGGTACCAAAACTGAGGCGAAACGGGCTAACTCCAAAAACTTCTTGCGGTACTCCATTACCGACAAGGGTACTTGCTTAAGGTGGAGAAACTCCTCGTACTTTTCCGCCTTGACATGAGCAGGATAGAACCGCTCACGTAGCTTATCCTCCAAGTTTTCCCAACTAAACCCCGGATCTTGTCTACAAGCTGGCCTTTCAAGCATCCACCACAAGTCCGCTTCTTGCCTAAGGTAGAACATAGCTAACTCCACTTGGCGATCCTCCGGGCAGACCACTACTTGGAAGATCTTGTCAAACATCCGGATCCACTCTTCTAGCACTGTAGGATCTTCTTCACCGGCGAAGATCGGGGGACGGAGACTTGATACTTGGCGTACTACGTCCCGATTCCCATTCTGAGGAGGGTGTCTGTTGTTGAGGAGGGTGTGGCTCAGTGTTTGGGTGATCTGCGTCAACTGATGCAGGCTTTGAACTAGCTGATCGTTGGTGGCTGCTTCTGAAGTCCTTGCATGACGTCTCGATGGTGCCATTATTGACTTCTACAGAAACAGCACGAAAACGGGAGGAAACCTAGAAGCCCGCACCCTTACCCGGTGCCTTAACTTAAAAGATCCCACAACAGAAAGAAGAACAAAGCACAGGAAGCACAAGAAGATAAGAGAACTCACAACCTCACCGCGCGTCCTAAGGTTCCTAAGACTTAGGTACTTAAACACTTAGGATTCAAGCTTAACTTCTTAAGGTCTTACACTTGAAAGCACTAACCTAGGTTCCAATCTAGGTTCTTTAGGTCCAACTCTTAACATCCTAGGCTCAAACATATGCTCTGATACCAATAGTAACACCCCCGATTTTTACCAAAATTTAAAAGCTTAAACATGAGACATAAAGCTAAACATTAATCATTAAGCACCGGAAGCAACGTCTAAACACGGAGGTGTTGTGCCACACCTATATCACGCATAGGTGCACAGGCAGATACTACAACTAAAGCAGTCTAACAATTCAACTACATAGGCTCACAGACCTCAACAACTATTAAAGGAAGATCTCTAATCTATCTACAGGTCACTAGCGCGCTCTCCAAAGCTACTCAACCTATAAAAGATAAGGGATAACACCCGGTTAGCGAATAATGCCAGTGACCCATCAACACGCGTTAAGTATCATAATATACATAAATATAATCAAAAGCATTTGAAACTGGGAATACAGTATATATCATTTTAAAGTCGGGAGAGGAAACATCAATAGACTCATCAATCACTCACAACAAAGGTCAAAGACCAGCATACTCAACAAGACAATAGAACCACAAGCAACAAGCTCAACAACAAGGTACAACATGCGACACACAACGAAGGATTCACAATAGCCATGCTCTTAAGTAATGGAAGACCAGATTCACACCATAACCAGTTCCAAGTCCACGTAGGACACCATCACACCAAGTCATATACCATGGAGTCAGCACCATGACTCGATTCATAGAGGATCAGTGTGGAGGGCTCCAAATCATCAACAAACATGTATCACGTAGTCATCGCAACGACCCGGATCACATGCATAGTGTCATCGCAATGACAAGGACTGCAGCCCAATGGAAACACAGGTAGCAACTTTAAGTGTATACACCCCCTATTGAGATTCCAAGCTCAACGGGTTAGCTACCATCTCTGGCAACTGGAATGAGTTTCCCATGTTGCCCACAAGCCATAAGTATCCAAATGGCAATCCGGAGCTTTAAACCCACTACCGGATCAATTCACAAATAAGTCCCCACATTGTCCACTTTACCACCTCAATCATCTCATCACATCAATCCATCATCCCAACAAGAGTCAATACACACGGAATCTAGAGATACAACAACACCTAGATTCTACACAAATTGTGTACAACAACGGATAAGCTCAACAATAGCTTAATCAAGGAATAATCATACACACAGGATCACATCAATGGATTCAATCTAGGGGTTTCAATGAAGGACATGAAACGATACTTAACAACAACAATGGACCTCAATCCAATATCAACATGATTGGCAACACAAGTTGCCAATCCACAATAGAAAGGGACAAATAACACATACTAGCATCAATGACACCAGGACTAGCATGCATATCAAACGGGTAAACCAAAATGGTTCCAACGAACCTTCAAGACTCATATTAGACCAACGAATCACACACTACAAGAAAAATCGCGGTTTGCGACGAAAGAATTCTGTCGCGAAACTGTGAAATTCCGTCGCAAATCGCGTTTTGCGACGGAATTTTACATTTTCGCGACGGAATCCATTCCGTGGTGTCAAGGCTTGTCGTATTTCATTTCGTGAAGGAAATAATCCGTCGCAAGCGGTGGCGACGGAAAATGGTGACGGAATTGTCCGTCGCGAAGTAGGCGACGGAAGTCATCCCGTCGCGATTTTGGCAACGGAAATGTTTCTTTCTGTCGCCTTCGCTTGAAAAATATTCCGTTGTAAAACTCATATTCCGTTGCATATTTCTGTCGTGAAATATAACGACAGAAATAATTATTGTCGTGATTCCATCACTAACCTTTCCGTTGCATATTTTTTCTTCCGTTGCAAAATTTCGTCGTAAGAAAACGACGGAACAAATTTCCGTAGTGATTCCATCGCTAGATATTTGGTCGCAAAGTTTGTTTTCCGTCACAAAATTTTGTCATACAAAAATAACGGAACTAATAACTGTCGTGATTCCATCGCGTTTTGGGCAACAAAAATCTTTCCGTCACCAATTTCGTCGCTATAATGACAATGAATATTCCATCGCTAAAATCATATTTATCGCGATGCTGGTAAATTATTATTATTTTACTATTTTTTAATTTTGATTATTTTGTTAAAACTCTAATATTTGTATTTAAAATGTTAATATGCAAACTAAAATACAATATAATTTGTAATATAAAAGCGATACTACTTTGTAGTTCAAAAATTTAAATGTTATACTTAATACCAAGTTCATATCTAAACATCAATATAGTAATCCATAAAAAAAAAATCAATATCAAGTTGAATTCAGTTGTGATGATGATACACCAGCTTTCTCACTATCAAGAGCACCTAATCTTTGTTGTATAAAAACCATAGAAGCCTTCAAATTCTCAATCTCATCTTGCATCTTTGTAGAATTAGCATTGTCTGAAGGCACGAGGTTGATGTTATATTATCTGATGTGTTAGCATTTTTTGAACCACGAATAAAGGTACCATATGAGCCAAGCCCATAAACTCTTCTTTTCTTATTATATCCGCCAATTGCACCATAGTACAATCAACTCTCATCTACTTCATCTCCATTTTGTGTTAATACATCCAGTTGCAATGCAACTTATTCTGACAAAAAAAAAAACACAATAACGCATAATTCAAACAATCCAAACATAATCACTTATAATTTAAACATTAAGTTATAAGTTATAGCTGCTCTTTATTGATATGCACTTATAGTTGCTCTAGTTACAGGCTTTTATTGGACTAAAAAATTCCAATTATCCTTGCAATCTCTTTTGAACTTTACATGATTATGACTGTAAAAGTATTAGTCCCCATCTTATTTCTGATTAACTGTATTCATGAATTAGACCTGCCTCAATTGTGTAATAAATTAACAGACATTATCAACACTTATAGCAACACTACAACAACACAGGTATGTAATTAAACATCTCTTCTCTTTATCATTGTAGAGAAGATAGCCATATCAAATTACCAATAAGATAGAATGATACTCGTTTTTTAAAGAAATGTGGTTTTTAATTGAAGTAAAATCAAATTTCATGGTTGTGTTTTAAAAAGTTGTACACCAATCACTAACTATTATTTTTATTCACATTTCTAGTGTGTAAACCCATGAACCAAACACATCCATAGTATTTTCCTAAATCTACTAACAAATGGATTTAGATTGCTGATTTAGAATCAGGCAAGTAGGAAATCGGCCACCTGAAGAAAGGGCAAAACATAAAAACAAACTTGACAATACTTCATTTGGCTAAAAAAAAAAAAACAAAAAACAAAACATAATTAAGATTTAGTAAACACAAATGTTGCAAAAAGAAATTCCCACATTTTTACTGAAATTAATTCTCAATAGGAAAATCACATCTGCATAAAATTAATCCATCAAAACTCACATTCACAAGAAGAATTACACAGTGCAGGTACATACGCGTTCCCTCAAAATATGCCAATATCATCCATATCATTCTCAGATGATTAATTATAAAGTTAATTTTACCATTTTATTTCTTTTGTGTATATTTAGCAAACACATTCAATTTCTTCCAACCAACGAATTAAAAAAAAATCCTCTAATTTAAATCACAAATGTGAAAATTAGAAGAACAGAACAGACTCCTTAATACAACTAAACCATTGTCCATTACTAAACTAGAAGACAATCAAGACATACCTGCCGGTTGGTAACCGCCTTACCAGAAGTTGATGTCGCTGCTGGCTTTGATGCACGTAGCCACTCGCCAGTCGAAGTCTCAACTCTCAAATGAGTGTTGCAGAGTCGCAGCCGCAAAAAGCCAAAAAATACTTTTTTTTTTTTGTATATCCCAACAAAAAGTGGAGAATTGCAAAGGGTTCATCACCAAAAAGATACATTTACACCTAAATTAAAAGAATCACAAATCTGAATTACGAATGGTATCATCATTTGATTTTGATGTCATTTTCCTTTACTACCTACAAATAAGAATAATAATTTCACAAATTTACAAGACAGCCTTAAAATTTACCCCAAAAAAAACCCGGCATTGAATTCGCGAATTCCATATCAAACCTGAGCCGCAGTGGCCGGAGCGGCGGCAGCATTTGTGGCAACACCAGTCAACAAGGAGATGATATCCATGGCGTCGGAGCCTGAGCCTGTTGCTCGTCGAAGTAGAAATATTTGGGGACGCAGAAAGCTTAATGGGCGCAAACAATGGCGACGCTCTCAAGCAATGAGGTTACCAGAAGGGATCCCAGGTTGGTAAGGAAAAGGACGAAGACGGTGGAGAGAATGAGGGCGGCGACAAGGGGAGTTACTCTGAGAAGGAGGCGGCGAAGATTGGGCGGCATCTGTGGAAATTTAGAATTTAGAATTTAGAATTTGGAGGGAATCGGCATCACAGCTGTGGAAATTTAGAATTTGGAAGAGCGGCTATGGAAATTTAGAATTTAGATATTACGTAGGCTCTGTTTGGCAACGATACTAGGAGCTTATAGTTTATTTTAAGCTACTAATAAGCTATAAGCTCTGTTTGGTAATGTTCCTAAAATAAGCTCATAGCTTAAAATAAGAGCTTATTTTGGAACGCTACTTTAGGTAGCGTTTCAAAATAAGCTACTAGCTTCCTAACTTTTTTTCCATCTTTACCCTTATTATTTTAAAGTAATGACATATTTTAACCTTATGAATTAAAACTCTTTTTCTTCACCTATCCCAACTTTCACGTCAATCCCTTCATCTTTAGCTTATTATTATTATTATTATTATTATTATTAT